TTAGAATCCTTTCCTGGCCACAGGCAAATACTCCTGACCACCTTGCTTTTGCCTAATCCCAGCTGGAAAAAAGTCCAGGGATTTCAGGGAGGCAGGGCAGGAGGAGGAGAGGAGAGGTCAGGAAAGACGCGGCAATCGCTGGCTGCTCCAGCTCTCCAGGGAATTTCTAATGGATCCACAAGATACAGAGAGGAACGGCTACCAAAGGGATGCTCTGGCTCTGAGTCCTGGGTAGGAAGAGATGGAAAGGAAGTGGAGAGATGACAGCCTCGAGCAGCACATGCTCTGATTGGGAACAGGAAGAGAGCCCAGTTTCTGTTTTAAAACTCAAACACTCTGTTTTGAATCATCCCTTAATCATTTTAGTTCTCTTGGTCTTATTTCCCTAAGTAAACAGTGAGTCGCCCCTTTGGCTGGGACCACAGCTGATATGATTTCGGCTTCCCGTACAGTTCTCAACACAATGGCCACAAGCTAAGACCTGCTGGTCCTTGGCACGGATGTACAGAGAGGGTTTTGGCCTTCAGAGCCAATTCTGGACCTCTACAGTCCTCACCCTCTTCCGAAAACAGCACATCAGTTTCCTTTGGGGGCCCATCCCTTCCTAGCTCGGTCCATTTGGTTGGGATGGAGCTGACCTGTGCCCCTACTCTCTCCATGCCAGGAGTGGCTGGCCAATCAGAGGCACAGAGGTTGGCATATGGATGGGTATTTGACCCAGTTTGGACCAGTGAGATTGAAGCCTGGGAGTTGTGCTGGAATTTGGGAAGTAGAAGGTCTCCTTTCTTAGCTGGGGTTGCTGAGAGGAAGTGACTACATGGAGAAAGTTGGCGGAGGGGTGCAGAAACACCAAGCTCTGAGAATATTGCTTAAGCTCCTGGATCCAGCCCAACCTGAATCCCACATACCCCCTCCCTGGATTTTTTATTACTTGTGTTGCGGTTAGTTGCCTTTGTAGCTTAAATACTCTGTGCTTCAGAATGAGAGTCTTGCTTGATACTCATTATTAATAACAGCTCCACATGGCTGCAGCTACTGGAAAAGCACAAAGAGAAAGAGCTATGTGAAGGCCATGTATTTTAGTTCTGTTATGAATGCCCTGGCTACATAACCTCCCTGGTGTCTCAGTTATTCTGTCTGCAAAATGGGCTCACACTTTGCTGCTCTAGATCTTTTATGCTTTTCTGACTTCCAAGTTTATCAGCTGTAGCCCAGACCTCTCTTTGGAGCTTCAGACTCACACATCCAGTTGTCCTCTAGGCCTTTTGAACTAATCTTATTTTTTCTCAGTATTTTTTTTTTCCTTTCTCCCTCTCAGAATAATAGTCTCTAAATTTTAAGGGGGCATGTGACTAGACTACATTTCCCAAGACTTCCTTGCAGCTAGATGTGGCCATGTGATCAAGTTCCAGCCAATAGGATGCGAGCAGAAATGGTATGTGCAACTTCTGGGGCTGGCCCTTGAAGTGAGGGACAAAAAAGTAAAAATAAAATAAAAGAGAGAGGGGTGAACTCCCCTTTTCCTGTTCTCCCTTCTCACTGGCTGGAATACAGACATGGGAGTGAGTTATGTTTTATCTTGGCAACGAGGGCAATGCTTCAGGGGTGGCAGAGAATAAGACGGAAGGTCCCTGGTGCTGGGTAGTCTTATCAGCTTGAACTGCTTATACCTGGACTGCTAGGCAAGGGAAATATTCTCTCTTGTTTAAGCCAATTATTTTGAATCTCTCTAAGGGTTGCTAGATTTAACCAAAAAAAAAAATACTCATTCCTCTCCTAAGAGAGAGCTGGGGGAATGGAACAATCCAGGAAGGTAGTGAAGATAACACAGGACACCTGGGGCCCCAAGGGCTTTTCATCTCAGTTTTCCCTGTACATCCTGGGAGCACGTATGGAGACGCGTGAGCCTGGGGTCTGACTCTCATTCTCTCCCAAATGATCTTCCTCTCTCTCCGCCTCAGTTTCTCCTTAGGTACTATGGAGACGAATCGAGCATGATGGCCTCCTAGGTCCTTCCAGCTCAGATCTTCTATGGTTCTGTAATTCTAAGGTGAAACTCAGATGCCAGTGGGGTCCGGAGGGGGGGGCTGGGGATGGGCTGGGGAACATACACCCCTGCGAAGAGGGCAGTCGCTGCTCAGCTCCTGCTGACCCTTGGGAACGCAGGATTGCTGGATTTTCTAAATTTTTAAGACGAGTTGGACATCTAGATTGTTTTGGTCTGTGCAATCTCCTGATTTTTAAATGTTGGCGACAAATTCACATTTTTTCAAGCACTCTAGAGGCCAAACAAAAAAATGTCTGCAGGCTGAATTTGGCCAGTGGCCACCAGTTAGGAATTTTTTGTTTTGATACTATTTTCCTTCCCTCCTTGCCCCCTTCCTTCCCTCCTTCCCTCCCTTCCACAAATATTTATTTGATGCCCACTATGTGGGGGGCACTGTTCTATGTATTTGGGATAAAACAATAAACAAAACAGGAAAAGCTGTCGTCAGGCAGCTTTCATTCTAGTGAATCGTCCTGATTCACCCATGCAACAAATATTTATCGAACGAGTCTGACCCACGCACTGTACTTAGTTGGGCTGATAAATGTTCATGGTCCCTGCCTCATGGTACATATAGCCTAGAAGGGAGGCAGACAATAAGAGCATAATTATAATATAAATGAAAAACACAGTTATGGGGAGCGATGCAATTTAGATGGAGGGGAGTGGTTAGGAAAGTCCTCTTGGAGGGAGCTACACTTAACATGAGAACTGAAAGGTATATAAGATCCGACTTAGTGAAAGAACTTTCTAGGACATTCTGGATTATAGCGAAGGCTTCCAATGTGCCTCTCTTCGAGGTCCCCTCAGCTGTCACCATTCCTGTACATGTGGAGGCGTTCTGCTGTTAGCACGTGTCCTAGGCCAGAAGGGCAGGGAGGTAACACCCTTAGGAGAAGCCCTCAACCCATGACGGAAGGGAATCTGTAGATAACTATCCCAGCCCCCTCCCTCCTTGGGTGGGTCAACTCTGAGGTGTGTTCTGCAGTCTCCCAGGGGTCCCCAGTGGGACCGAGCCCCAGTTACCCACAGCAGAAACTATTTATGCACACTGCATTGGCTGCTTTCCCTTCCCTGCTTCCTGGAATCTACCCCCAAATAAACTACCCACACTCACTGCTTGTCTGAAGCTCTGCTTCTGGAAGAAGCCCAGGAGATATGGGCGAGAACATGGCAGGTTGGAGGACAGAGCAACTCAGGATGAGTAGCAGGGAACGGCGCTGGGGGGTGGCGGCAGGAGCCAGCTGATAAAGGGCCCTGGAGGCTGCGGCTAGGGTTTGTCAACGGGGAGGCCAGTGATGATTCTTCAGCAAGGGGGGGACTCTGACCAGGCTTGCACATTCGGATGGCCCCTCTGTAGGAGGCTGTAAAGGGCAAGAATGGAAGCTAAGAGACGAGGTAGCTGGAGGTGAAGACAGCTGGGATTAGGAGGTGGGATCGGCGAGAGGTAACTGGCAATGAGGCATCACATGGGCCAGGTGGCCTGAGGCTCAGAACGGCACTCTGGGCTTTGAACCTGTCCTGAGGAGCCCACAGTTTGGTGTGAGGAGTGGTGATGAGACACAAACATCAAAATCAGGCCTAAGAGTACAAAGCCCTACACAATTCATGAGAACCAATTTGCTGCATGGAGCTGTGGAACTTCGGAGTGGGCGACCTCTAAGGGAAAGGAAGAATGAAAGAATGCTTTTTTTAGGGGAGGTGACTTGACCAGGGTGGTTAGAAAAACCATGGAACACCCAGACCTAGAGGGCCGCTTACTGCAGTAGCCCCTTTGGGGCAGCCCAATTTTTTTTTCCATGGCAGCCAATTCTACTCTCGGGTGCTTTCAGCAGCTCTTGACTCTGCCATCCTTTACCTAACCTGTGCGCAGTCTAAAAACGCCTGCCGGATTTCCCGCAGGCACTGCTAGACATATTAACAGCATTCCTACACAGTAAGAGATTTCTGCACCACCAACACCATTTTCATATTCTTTACAACATAATGGCAGACGATAAATCTATCTTGCTAATTACACATCCAGCTAGTTATAACTCCCATAAAAACACGAGCAGCTGGAAAAGCCATGAGGGTGATGTCAAATCATATTCCTGGTCTCTAAACAGAAACAGAAATATTTTCCAGTCGCCGGTGAGTCTCATGGTTCCTACTCAGGCGTGGAAGCAGCTGCCAACAGGTTGCTCGCCTCGGATGAGATTGTAAGTCGCCAGTGCTCTCAAACCCTGCCCCTCCACCCCCACCTGTCTCCCTGAAGAGATGGCAGACGTCTGGAGCCATCCACATGTGGTTTGTTGGGAAGCCCTCAGCACGCATGCAAAGATCAGCGGGGTTTGGGTTTTAGCAGTTGGGTTCATTTCTGCATTGTTCAGGTGGTTTCAATGTTTCTTTCATTCACCACCAAGCAGCCTGTAGCATTTGCCCAGAATTCTAACTGGATGGTTCCCCAACATAATTTGTCGATAATACATTTGCAAAGCTGTTGCTAAGATCCACGCTGGAGCTGACAAAATGCCTCCCCCTCGTCTCAGAAAAATGGAAGGAAAATTAAATTCATCTGCTGGAGACACTAAGATAAACAACAGAGAAGAAGAAAAAGACTTTACCTCGTATTTTAGCTAGGATTACTGGTTTTGGCTGCAGCCTATCCGAGCCCTCTTAGGAGGGAGACAGCCAACGACTATGAGCTTATATCCTATTAAGTGGACATTGAATGCTTCATGTGTTGGAAGAAAGGGCATGGGAGACAATAGAAGGGGAAGCTAATTAAATTTTCACATGTCAAGGGAAAATTCCATAGGCATTCTCCAACCTGGGCGGACCCAAAGGGGCAGCTTTTGTTGGAGAAGCCGCCTCATAAACTGCCCCCACAATTCCCAGGACAAATCAGCCCGACAGACGGTCATGTTGAAAAAAAAAAAAAAAAGCAAGAGAGAGACAAATGGATTCTTACCTTCCCGTATCTAGATGCAAACGTCCCCGTGAGTAAGGAGTGAAAAATAATTATTGTCTCATCCAAGTCCCACACGAACACACGCTGTGATGAAAGAGAGGAAGAGAATGGAGACAAATGGACTCGCTTGCATCTGACTTAATGTCTGCAGAAATTAATTCCCTGGAGGAAAAAGAAGTCTTGAAAAACATTATCTTTAAGTTATAAAACATGCAACTCACTGATGCGTCCTTGCGTCCCCATCCAACCTCAGCTGTGTAAAGTGTGTGCTCATGGCCAAGTTCTGAGCTTCTATCAACCCAGCGGATGCCAGAACCAAGAAGCCTGTTTCTGCCTTCCACATAAAAGCTCAAAAAAGGAGTTTGGTCCAAAAACAGTAATAAAAATCCTATAACTTATTTGACAAAAGGAAATACTACCATTTTACATTCACAGCTCACCATCAGTCCAACCACTTCTGACCATTTTTGTTTTTAGCAATTCTGGTGGTTGCCTCCATAACACGAAATAACATACTTTTACCTTTACTTATTTATTTGGTGTGCCAAATTTGGACAGTATCTTTTGACTTAGCAATCTGAAAGATTTGGGTGTAGCTCATGGTAATCACCATTTCTCCAGGACTTTGTATTTTTCACATATGTATACCCCTCTACTTCCAATTCCATCAGCTATGGGCATCCTCCCTTGGTTAAAATAGTAAATGCAATCTGGAAGATACAGATACTGGTGGACCCATTCTTTTCCCTACTTCTCTGATATTCATCAGCGTTCGCCTTACGTTTGCTTTGTCACTGTGGGTAGATTGGTTTGTGTATTTAGTTTTATAACTATACTTAAGTCTTCTGTGCTCTGTCTATATGTTGATTTTTGAAGTTGGTAACCAGTAAAGACCACCTACATCGTGTGATAACTGTTCACTGCAGAGCCAAGTAGTGTGCTAGAATTTCACTTCCTTCTCTGCATGTCCAATGTCCTAACCACCCCAGAGCCATTTTAAAGAGACTGCTTCAACCATCAAGGTCCTATGTATTCTTCTGTCTTGCACTCTATCCCGATTAAAACTATGCCATATCTCAGTGTGTTCACACAGGAATCGTGCCTGTTTGGTATAACATTTTGTTTTTGCTGGAGTTTATGAGTTGCTTTCATTATTTTCTTGTTTCCAATCATGTGCATTCAGTAGAATCTCAAACTCAGCCACACCCTCTGTATCAAAGACGTCCATTCTCGGTGACAGAACGCTCCAGTGCAGACGGGGTCATCGTTAGGCTTGCTGCACAGCTGGCATTCAGAGACCTCCCTTTACTGTTATTTCTGGGTCCGATCCACTGTTTCCTGGATCCCAAATCTCTCTTTCTTGGTTTTCTTCCTTGTTTTGCTAGTTGAGTACATCATTCAATTGCTTCTTCTGAAAGGGGGCAGGGAAAATAATCTTCCTGGACTCTTGCATATCTGGTGGTACCTTGATTTTGCTCCACAGTTCCTGTGGGTACAGAATTCTAATTGGAAAACAATGTCCTTTAGATCTTTGAAAGAATTTCTCCATTATCTTGTAGTGTCCAGCATGATTGATGAGAAGTCTGGTGTTTCACTTGTCCTCAGCCCTTTGTGGTTTTTTTTTTTCCTCTCCAGCGTTTTTTTTTTTTTTTAGGATCTTTCTTTATACTTGGTATCCTCAATTTCCATGAGGCTATATCTAGGCATTGTCTTTTTTTATTCATAGTGTTCAGCCCTTAAGTGTCTTCAATCTTATTTTCTTGAAATAATTTCCTCCTATCTTTTCCACTGTTCTCTCTTTTCTGGATATTCCAATAGTCAAATTAGAACTTGTGGATTGATATTGCCTATCTTTTAAAAAAATGTATTTTCTATGATTTTGTCTTTTTGATCTATGTTGTGAGAGATGTCTTAAACTTTCTGTTCCACTTTCGATTCTCACTGATGTTTTAAAATTTATAGCTACTCTTTGTCTCTGAGTGTTCCTTTCCCAATAGCTTGTACTTCTCACTTTATGGCTGCAAGAACTCCTTGAATCTTTATAAGAAAACCAATCAGAATTTTTCAAAGTTCTTTTCTGTTTCTTAAATTACTTTTCTTGACCTTTATCGTACATATTTATCCTGGCATTGGTCATACATATTTATCTTACATTTTTATACTGCTGGTTTTCCTCATTTTTCTGGTGATCATTATTTTTAAGAACAAAGGGCCTGATTGATCATCTGTGTGTCTGGGCTTGGGCAGCGGGGCAGGGGATGGGGGGAGGGGGCAAATGTGCCTACTCAGTATGCCATTGTCAGCGGGCCACCTTTGAAACCTTTCTGGAGTTCAGTGGCAGTATTTCCCTGTTAGCATTTTGCCACATCTTTAACAATAAAGAGAGGGGTGGAATCTAGAAGGAAAAGGGTCAATTAATGCAGGGGGTTTTCAAACAATTAGCAGACCTGAGTAGCATTCTGTGAATTTTTGGTCTAGTTATCTTTATGTATATGTATGTGTTGGGTCATGATACTAAGTACAGTTCTTATTATGGGTCATGGTAAAAAAAAATGTTTGAAAACCACTGTTTTTGAGGAGGGCTTCTGGGGGCTACATATGCTAAGCCTAATGTATCTGAAGTAACGGGGTTGGATCAATTCAGCTCAGAAATTTTGGAAGGAGAATTTAAAAAACTCTATGAATATTTTCAAATTTAATACAGAGTCAACAAATTTACCCATGACGCCCCCTCTGAAGATCACCTGTCCCCCTTCCCCACTAGCCCACCACGCTATTCCCCTGCCCTACATGCTTAGTGGGTAAGTTCTTGGTGGCTATTTGGACGGTGACCCTAATCCCTAACCCATTGGGGTTTGGGCCAGCGTGGGTCCCTGACCCTAGTTAGTTCAGAGGCCTTTCCTTGGGAACTTAAAATTGGGGCCTAGAAGGAAATTCACTGTCTTTGGGTCATGTTGGTGGACATATGACCTTAAGGACAAGGAACGTCAGTCTGCAGAGTGAGAGGAACAAAGGGGCGAGAGATGGAAAAACAATATGTTTGCAGGGTCTGGTTTCAGTGAGAATCAGAGTGAGGTGCCCGGAGACGAGCCACGCCCAGGAACCGGTACATGAGGACACTGAAAATTCACTATTGCCTGTAGATTCTAGCACCTTCTCTGTGACGTGTGGTGTAAATGCGTTTCCTTGCCCCAGCTACCTCTGATGCCAGTATTTGCTGACACTCCCCTGCATCCCTGCCCTTGGGTTCTACGAGAATCCCTGTATCCTTAATATAAATTCTGCTTTTTCGTTTAAGCTGGCTCCAGTCGGTTTCTGGCACCTGCAGCCCAGGGATTTTAACTAATACAAACTCAGAATTTTCCTCCTTTCCACTTCTCCACATAATTTCTCTCTCGTGGGCTTCAGTCATTAGCAAAACTGCCAAAGACTTAAGAGGTGTGACCCGTGCAAACCCACCATGCTGACATTAAGCACAGAAGTGAAACACAGCTCACACCTTTTCAACCGCTCTTGCCCAGTGGTACTTACTCTGGAATCAAGAAGCAGATGTTTCCAGAATAATAGCACCCCATAATCCCTGACTTCCATTCCGCCCCCACCTCCTTCTCCCTTTAATGGAAAACTGTCTTTCTCCCCTCCCACCATCTCCTACCTAGAGCAGAAATCACGTGAGGTGACCGAATAATTTTTATATTTTTTTAAATATTAAAGTACGTGTTGCTCTCCATGACTTCGATAGCTCTGCAGCTTCAAGCCGGTAGAAAATCCTCAGGATATAGGAGAGCAGGAAGCCAGGACAACCTGAGGTCAATAAACTTTCTTCTTGCCTTTTGCTGAAGGGATTGTGTGATGTCTCCTAAGTTTAGGAAGGTGGGGGCCTTTCAGAATTAAAGGAAAAGCAGGCACAGAAGACCCTGGACGGAGACTAGTCCCAGGAGCAGTAGGAACACTTGCTCTGTGGCAGGTCCCCAGGGTGGTGAAGCTCCCAGAGGAGATGGCTGCTGGAGATTGACCAAACGCAGGGGATAGGCATGATGTTCAAAATATTTAACACCTAGTTCACCATATTTTTCAAAAGATCACACCTTGTATTCTATTCACCACTAATGGGAGACGGCTCAAAATTTATTAGGTGACCAGAATAAGATAAACCTATATAATCTAAGCAGGTTAACTTCTATTCTTTATTTTCTTTAATGAAGTGCCTTTTCATCAACTATAAATTCACTCTTGTGTGCACCTAAGTATTAGCCATTTGGTGCCACGTAGATTGTATTTTGTATTCTGTAGCCCAGGTTGAGTTTCATGGGATAAGAGATACAGGGGAAGGAGTTCTTAACTTAAATCATTAGGAATTGAAGTGTGATCTGGGCTGACTCTTGGTAACCTGGGTGTGTGTGAGGGTCAGTTTATCATTTTATTTCTCAAACTGGATGCTGCCCAAATGCAAGCTATATGAGAGATTCATTCGTAGCTGGGATCTAAGGCATTAGTACTGGAAGTTGATTTTCAAATCACCCTTGAACAAAATGAACCAGCTAAGATTTTGCTCCTATTAAGTGGTAAAACCAGGACTGGAATTGGCTCTCTGAAAATTGTTTGTTCCGATTTCAATTTGTGTGTAAATAGGTACTATGGACTTAGTCCATTTATATTTACTGCCTGGGTTTTAAGTTAGAAAATGTTTTTGGTTTTTTTTACTGTATGTCCTTTTAGATTATATCTGCAGTTCATACTTTGAAATAATTGCCCAGTCTTCTTTTAATTCATAATTGATTGAATGTATATTGCTCCATGCAGTTACTGCTAGTGTTAGTACCTAACTCTGAGTGCCACCTGGTGTTTTAGGACAATAGTTTTGCATGAGCTACTAATACATGTTCCATTCAGATATTTCAAAAGGAAGTGTAAATTAATACATATAATCCCCCTCAATCCTTTAGCCACATTTGTTAACACGGGTTTTGTGTTGCCTGACCACTGGCCTGTTCTGTTGTCAGTTTTCTTCATTTATTGTACAAGTGGTCCAATAGTTCATTTACAAATTTCTGTAATACGCGGCCTTTTTCTATCTTGTTATTGTTAACCAACATTAATCCTGATTCTGTGGTCCTTACACTTGTACAACAAACATGAATAAACACTTTGCCTTATGCTGTCAGGGAAAAAAAAATATTTAACACCTAGGATGACTGGAAACAGACGCCAGCTATAAACAACAGAGGCGGCCCTACTTGTGAACACTGGTTAAGTAATTCAGCCCTACTAGTAAAGACTGGCTAACTAGTACAGCCCTACCAGGGAATATTGGCTCCATGTCAAATGTCCTGGCGGTGGGCATTTGTAATTTGTGCCTCCAGCATCCACCTGCTCCTGATAAGAGCACCTGGTTTTCTCTTCCCGTTGTGTGTCGTTTGGTGGGGAGTGTCAATCGGCAGCAAGCCAGGCCAACGGGATGCTGTCTCCTTGGAATCAGACGTCGCGTGGAGTAGCACGAGAATTTCAAATGGCTCACTCTCCAGCAGGGGCTGGCACCCTGAAGGTTCCCTGGGTTCCTCAGCATGGCCTTTGTTACTGTTCTTTCAAACCCTGGTTAATTCCATTTTGCTGAAGTAACCAGGACTGGTGTCTGTTGCTTGCAACCAAAGGATTGTAGTTAATCCTCCGAGGTTCTTGTGTTCAACAAGGGTTACTATACCCGGTGTGTGGCATGGACACCCCAGAGAATGGCTGGACTGCCACTGACCACTGCAGGCACTGCCAGTGAGCAAGGAGGCAGGGACCAAGCCACGCTGGACACGAGCGGTTCTTATTCTGATTTCTGAGACCACACGAACCCTGAGATTCTCATGCAATTCTGGGAGGGGAGGTGCCCCAGTAATGAGGTGGGATTTCCTACCACCCCGATGGGATGGGGACTCAAAGTCAAAATTACCTTGATGTTCAGGAAATGGTGAAAATGGTATTTCTTAGCATATCTGAGTTTGTGGGCTAACTGGACTGGCGCAAGCTTTGTGGCTGCTACACATATTGGGCAGGACTATGAACAGGGGTGTGGTGATGATGCATTTGGATTTCTCGGCACTAACACTGGCTTTGAAATGCTCCACACACGCCCACCGCACACTCAAGCCAACAAACGGCTGCCTGTTGCAAAGAAGTACGAACTAGTGTACGTGCCGTTTTTCTCTCTGGGTGGAGGACTGTGGCTTCGACCTGCTTTTTGGGCGTCTGTCTGTCCTCTGTCCTCACTGGTACCCTCCCCCCATCTCTCAGGCACGCTGTTCTTTTTTGTTGGCTTGTTTTGGGAAAATGTCAGTGCCTGACCAATAATCCTACACTTGCTTTCTTACAATAAAGATTGGTCCATCCCTTAAACCGTTCTCAGCCTGGACCATACCCTGGAATCGCCTGCGGAGTTTAAAAACACTGATACCTGGGTCCTACCCTCAGGGAATCTGGTTTAATTGATCCGGGGTGCAGCTTGAGAACAAAGGTTTCTCAAAGCTCCCCAGGAGAGTCTGAGGTGCAGCCCAGGTTGAGGACCACGGTCTGAGAAACTCAGAATTATAGAAATGATGCTCTCACCTGAGCCAGCCTCCTGTCTCCAGGTAGATAAACATCTAAGCCATATTAGAATCACTAAGGGAACTTTTAGAACCCCATCCCCCGCCCCCCCGCCCCGCCATGTTTATTTAATTACTCTGGGGTTGGGGCCTGGGCATCGGTATTTTAAAAAGCATCCCAGGTGATTCTAATATGTAGCCCGGGTTAAGAACCCCTCTAACCCACAGGGAAGGTCTGCTGCCCATTGTCCTCTTTATGGGGGCTCTCAAAGTGTGGTCCCCAACCCAGCAGCATCGGCAGCATCTGGGAACTTGTCAGAGACGCACATTCTCAGGCCCCAGATCTGCTGAATTGGGAACTCAGGGGTGGGGCCCCGCAGTGCTCTTTTCTCTGTCAATGCGCTTTGTGAACACTAACGGCCATTCTGCCCCATGTACTTGGACAAAACTCTGTCCCCCACCCTCCTGTTCGGGCCACAGGTGGAGATGATGTTCCCCAAGGCAAACAGAGGCCATGGGAGTTACCTCGATCTCGTTGTCGCCTGCTGGGGAGGGGTCACTGTTCCGCTTGGACCGGCCTCGGAGCTTCCCGTCGGAGGCCCGGTGTGGCCTGTCTGTATCTCCCTCTTTTGTGGGCGTGGAAGGTCCATTGTGTGTGTTATATTCAGCTGGTGGAGGAAATGGAATGGTGGACATATCAGAAGCTTGGCCGAGTGTCTTCTCCCAGGAAATACCACACCAGAACCATCTAACGCTAGAGTGGTAGGTTCCAAAGGCAGCACCGAAGGCAAAGACCATTCGGAATCCAAATTACTCTGGACAGCCTCTTAAATTGCCCATTCATAAGCATTCATTCACCCAACAAAGATTTATGCAGCAAGCGTGGTCCAGGCCCGCTTCTCACAGCACCCAAATTCTAGAGAGAGGAGATACATCAGACAAATAAGGAAATACATAATATGCCAAGTGGAGACACGTGTTATAGAGAAATAGTAAATCGGATGGGGGAACAGGGAGTGCTGGGAGGTCACTAACTTATATGAGGCCAGTCAGGGAAGGCCTCATGGATAAGGGGACATCTGAGCAGGGATCTGAGACAAGTGAGGGCGGGGTCGCTGGGGGAGCTGTAATGAGAGTGAACAGTGTTTTATATTTACAACTCTCTGTATATCCTAGAGCCTGAGAATCCCTAGACTAACCAAGGAAGAAAATAAATACTTATATGTAGCTGGGCCTCGCCCATTAAGAGACCCCTCCCTTGGGGTTAGGGTGTGTGTGGGGGTAGAATTCTCTATGTTCCTGCCTCTATGCAGCTTGCTTCATTCTCTATTATAATAAAAGCAAGTTCTTTGAGGTTTGCTTGTTAGGAGCTTTGTCTGTTTGAGAATTAAATGACCTTATATACTTGAAAGCATCCAGCCCGAGGCTGGCAATTAGGAGACGTCAATAGATGATGTGAATGGAGTTCTGGCTCCACATACATACAAGGGACAGTGAGAAGGGGGCAGGGCAGAGGGCAGGCACCAGCTCCTTCTCTTCGAGGTGGTGTTTCTGGACACGGGGTGCTGAGGGGCTGCCAAGTTCATGCCCTTGGGCAATGGTCCACAGACCCTGAACAAGTGAGCTGTAGCCTCCGGGGACTCAGGTCCCAAAGCCAGCATCCAAGTTGTGTTGTTTTTTATGCCCAGAAGTTTTCGATACATAGCTTTTCATTCGACTTTATTATCTTTATTGAGCTAATGAGGGAACTGAGGCTGAGCGAGATGATGGAAGTCTGTTGTTAATTCGGCACATCAGTAGTAGAGCCAGAACTAAAATTTGGGCCTGCCATTGTCACTAGAGTGATAGAACTGTAATCCTGCGTGGAACCTTAGAGGACATCCCATCCCACTTTCTCAGTTTACAGCTGCTTGTCTAGCTCCCAAATGTATCCTGTGGACTCCATCGCTCCTTCCATAATCACCAGTTCTTGGATCATCGGGGGAAATGTTTTTCTCTAAAAATACTTGGCAATGGACTGAGTTTTTTTTTTTCCTTCCCTATCTTGGAAGGGCTATTTCCCTCCAAAACCCAAAGGACAGAACTTTATTTAATATTTATAAAACTTCTTAGCAGACTAAGGACATAGTAAGAAAAGATGTGATTTTGAGTTGTCAGGACTGCTGGGCCATCTTCAACTCCCCATCATTTTCAGGATACAGCATTCGAGATTCCCAAACATCGACCTAGCAAAGGCTTTTTTCTGGAGGATGAGGGTTAGGCAGTAAATAAATTTGCAGATGCTTAAGAGTCATGCAAATAAGGTTTATCCTGATTCACTTGGTTGTTCTAGGCTATGGGACCTTAAAAAACATTTGTAGACCCCATTAAAATCCAGGCAAGTATTATTAAAAAGAGGGGAAAACACCAGCTACCTAGAAATGTCTACATAAGGTGTATGTGGAGCCAATTTATTAGGGATGCCAAAAAAAACACAACCCTTTTCCCAACCTTATATATTCTTGAGACAAAAGCGTCCAAGTTCAAAGTCACAGTCAGAAGTACACAGGCTAGAGCAATTTATGTAAACCTTTCTTGGAGTCATTTTACTCTTTCTTTCTCTTTTTTTAAATGCTTTCCCTTAGTTATTTTAACAGCTTTACTGAGGTATAATTGACATATAATAAACCATATTTAGAGAGCCCAATTTGATAAGTTTTGACATATGTATAAATCTATGAAACCAAGATAATGAACAAATCCAGATCTTCAAGAGTTCCCCTATAATCCCTTTGTAATATTTTCCTCCTTTCTCCTCCCAGGAAACCATGGATCTGCTTTCTTTCACTATCAGTCAGTTTGCACTGTAAAACAAACTGCATTTGTTTTAAACAAATGGAGTCACGCAGTGTGTGTGTACGTGTGTGTGTGTGTGTGTGTGTGTGTGTGTGTGTGTGTAAAAAAAATTTGTCTGGCTTCTTTCGGCCAGCACAATTGTTTTGAGACTCAATTCACGTTTTTATGTACATTGATAGTTCCTTCCTCTGTGTTGCTGAGTGCTATTCTATTATATGGATATACCAGAATTTGTTAATCTGTTCATCTGTGGGTGGATATTTGGGTTGATTGTAGTTTTGGGTTGGAATAGAGCTGCTATGAACATTCACATAGCGGTCTTTGCATGGACATAAGCCGTCTTTTTTACGAGGGTGATTACTAGGTCACGTGGTAAAGTCTGTGTTTGACTTTTTAAGAAACGGCTAAATTATTTTCCAAACGGCTAAATTATTTTCCAAAGTGGTTGAACCGTTCCACGTTCCTACCAGCAGGATGAGAGAGTTCTAGTTGCTCCCCATCCTTGCCAACAGTTGGTATGGTCAGGCTTTGTGACTACAGCCGTTCTAGGAGGTACGCGGTGGGTTCTCACTGTGGATTTCATTTGCATTTCTCTAATGAGTAAGGCCAGCATCTCAATCATGTGCTTTTTTGCCCTCCCTGTATCTTCTTTGATGAAGGGTCTGTTCAAATATTTTGCCTATCTCTTTACTGGGTTGTTTGTTTTCTTATTCTTGGGGTTTGAGAGTTCCTACTATATTCTGGATACGCATATGTGAGGGTTCATTTTGGGTGTTTTTTGACTGGGCTAAGGGATGCCCAGAGAGCTGGTAAAACAGTGTTTCTGGGTGTGTCTGTGAGAGTGTTTTCAGAAGAGATTAGCGTTTGAATCAGTAGACTGAGTAGAGAAGATCTGCTCTGACCAATGTTGGTGGGCATCATCCAATCCATTGAGGGCCCAAATAGAACCAAAAGGCAGAGGAAGGGCGAATTCTCTCCACTCTTGAGCTGGAATGTCCATCTTCTGCCCTCAGACTTTGGAGCTCCTGGTTCTCAGGCCTTTTGACTTGGACTGAATTGCACTCATGGCTTTTCTTGTTTTCCTGCTTGCAGAAGGCAGATCTTGGGGTTTCTTGGTTTCCATAATCACGTGAGCCAATTATTATAATAAATCTCCTCTCATCTTTCCCTCTCCCCACCCCCACTGGCTCTCTTTCTGGATAACTCCAACTATATAAAGACATACGCTTTGCAATTATTTTCTCCCAGTGGCTTGTCTTTTCATTCTCCAAACAATGTCTTTTGAAGAGCAAAAGTTTAAAATTCCAGTTCATATCATTATTTTTCTTTTTGGATCATGCTTTTGGTATCATATATGAGAACTCTTTGCTTAACTCGAAGTCACAAAGATTTTCTCCTGTTCTTTTTTTTTTATATAGATTTATAATTTTATATTTAGGTCTATGATCAATTTTGTGTTAATTTTTGTATGTCATGTGAGGTGTGGATTGAAGCACAGTTTTTCTGACTATGGATTTCCAGTTGTTCCAGCATCTTTTGTTGAGAAGACTACCCTTTCTCCATTGAATTGCCTTTGAAACTTTGTCAAAAATCTGTTGTCCATACAGATATGGATTTATTTCTGAAATCTCTATTCTGGCTCATTGATCTTCTTGTCTATCTTTATGCCAATACCATACTGTCTTGATTACTTTGGCTTTGTAATAAGTCTTAAAATCAGGGAGTACCAGCCTTCTAACTTTGTTCTTCTACTTGTTGTTGAGGCTACTCTAGGTCCTTCGTATTTCCACACGAGTGTAAGTTCAGAATCAGCTTACCAACTTCTACAAAAAAGCCTGGGATGTTGACAGAGATTGTGTTAAATCTAAAGGTCAATCTGTCAAGAATTGACATCTTAACAATATTAAGTCTTCTGACCTGTGAATGAGGTCTATATCTCTTTGTTTATTAAAATATTTAACTTCTCTCTTTGGTGTTTTATAGTTTTAAGTGGACGCATCTTTTGTCAGATTTATCCCCAAGTATTTACTATTTTTTGATGCTGTTGTAAATGGCATTAAAAATATTCCATTTCCTATCATTTGTTGTTAGTATATAGAAGTACAATTGATTTTTATATATTCACCTAGTATCCTGAAATGTTGCTAAACACAGCTTTTTAGTTCTAGTAGCTTTTTTGTAGATTCTATCCGATTTTCTACAAAGGTGATCATGTCATTTTACTTTTTTTTAGTTCATGAAATTTGCTTCTTTTCCAATATGGATGCCTTTGATTGATTTTACTTGCCTCACGGCTAGAACCTGTATGTAGTATGTGTTTAATAGAACTGGAAAGAATGGACATCCTTGTCTTGTGTCTGATCTTTTTTGGGGTAGTTGTAGGTTTTTTGTAGCTGTCCTGTTTTAGTTAGTCGGAGCTGCTTTAACAAAAATACCATTGATTGGATGGCACAAACAACAGAGAATTACTCCTCACAATTTTGGAGGCTGGGAAGTTTAAGATCAATGAACTGGCTAATTTGGTTCCTAGTGAGAGTCCTCTCCCTGGTTTGTAGATGGGACTCCTTCTTGCTGTATCCACACATGTCTCTTCTTATAAGGGCACTAATCCCATTTGTAAGGGCTCCACCCTCCTGGTTTAATTAGCCTCCCAGAAACCTCATCTCCAAATACCATCACATTAGGGGATTAGGGCTTCCACATATGAATTTGGGGCAGAGGTAAAAACATTCAGTCTATAGCATATCTTTTTCTAATAAAGGAAATTCCCTTCTATACCTAATTTGGAATTTTATCAGGCATAGATGATAGATCTTGTCGGATGTTTTTTCTTTATCTATTGCTATGATCTTTTTGTTTTTCTTTCTAGTTAATTAATATGGCAAATTATTGGGTTGTCAGAAAAGTCATGATGTACTTTTTCTCTGTTTTTCCTTGCAAAAATGCATCATGACTTTTCTGACAACCCAATATATTGATTTTCAAATTTTAGACCAACTTCACATCCTTGGGAGAAACCCTACTTGGTCATGATGCATTATTCTTCTTTAATATATAGTTGAACTTGATTTGCTAACATTTTGCTTAGAAATTTTGTATCTATTTTTATGAGAGATATTGATATTTAGTTTTCTTTTCTTATAACAGCTTTGTCTGGTTTTGGCAACAGGGTAATGTTGCCTTATAGAGTGGCCTTCCTCTTCAAATTTTTTGAAGAATTCATGTAGAACTGATATTTCTTACTTAAATGTTTGGTAGAATTAATCAGTGAAGACATTAGGGCCTGATGCTTTCTTTGTGGGAAGATTTTTATAAAAATTTAAATTTATTTAATATAGGCCTGTTTAGGCTATCTATTTCTTCTCGAGTGAGCTTTGGAAGTTTTTGTACTACAAGGAATTTGTCCATTTCATCTAAGTTGTTGAATTTATTGGCATGATGTTATTCATACAATTGCATTATTATCCTTTTAAAAAAAATTGGGGAATTGGGGGATGGGAACAGCGCTGGGGAATTGGGGAAGGGGAACAGACAAGCTGCTGTCCTTTTGTTCTTCAGTCTAGTTGTGGAGGATGTTGCTTCACTGGCCCAAGTTGGCACCATCATTGCGCTCTTCCCGGGCAAGGCAGGCAGATCAGTTGCCGGCTTCTGGACGGCCACTCACAGTGGCTGCTGGCTACACACGGTAGCCCATGGCAACCCACTGCAGCAGGGGCTGCAGCCTACGCCATCACCAGCGACTCACGGCAGCCCAGCTCCAGGTTGAGCTGTTGTTCAGCATCTTAGCTGTAGAGGGCAGTGTCACTGGCCCTCATATGTGGGATCCGAACCGGGGCCCTCTGGCATCCCAAGCCAGTTCTTAACCATCACGCCACTCGGCCGGCCCTGCGTTATTATCCTTTTAATATTTGTCAGGTCTATGGTAATGTCATCGCTCTCATCTTATTGGCAATTTATGTCTTCTCTCTTTTTTTTCTGTAACAGCTGGTCTAGAGTTTTATCAATTTTATTGATCTTCACAAAGAACCAGCTTTTGGTTCACTGATTTTCTCTATTGGTTTTCTGTTTTCCGATTTCACTGATTTCCAGTCTGACCTTCATTATTTTCCTTCTTCTGCTTACTTTGGGTTTAATTTGTTTTTCTTTTTCCAGTTTCTTAAAGTGGACGATGAGGTTTTGGTTTGAAACCTTTCTCCTTTTCTAATATCGTCCTTTAGTGTTATAAATTTTCCTTCAATGCTGGTTTAGTGACATCCTATAAATTTTGATAAGTTGTGTTTTATTTTCATTAAGTTCAAAATAATTTTTAAGTTCCCCTTGATTTCTTCTGTGACCCATGTGTATTAGTCAGGATAATATATATATATATATAAATGGTGGTTATATATATTATATTTATTATAACCATTTGCTCACATGGTTATAGAAGTTGAGAAGTCCCTCTAGCTGCCATCTGCAAGCTGTAGAACCAGGAAAGGTAGTGGTGTTATTCAACCTGAGTTCATAGGCCTGAGAACCAAGAGCCCTAAGGTCTGAGGTCAGGAAAAGACAGACGTCCCACCTCAAGAAATGAGTGAAATTGCCCTTCCTCTGCCTTTTTGTTCCATGTGGACCCCTAATGGATTGGATAATGCCCACCCACACTGGGGAGGGTGATCTTTTTTACTCAGTCTACTAATTCAAACGCTGATCTCTTCTGGAGACACACCCTTACAGACACACCAGAAATAATGTTTTACGAGGGATTGGGGCATCCCTTAGTCCACTCAACTTGACATACAAAATTAACCACTACCATGAGTTATTAAAAGTATATTGCTTAGCTTCTGAATATTTGGGAATTTTCCAAAAATCTTTCTGTTATTTATTTCTAGTTTAGTTCTACTGTTTTCAGAGAACATTATTTGTATGACTTGAACGCTTTTAAATGTAATGGAACTTGATTTAAGGCCCAGAATATGTCTATTTTGGTAAATGTCTGTGTACTTAAAAAAAAAAGTGTATTTTGTGGTTGTTGAATAGAGTGGACTATAGGCTGTCTGTTACATCTTTTCTTTTAACTCTAGCTCTCTCCCCAGAGAAAATGTTAACAGTGGTTTGAATCCTTCCAGAAATTTCCTATGCAAATATGAGTATTAAATTACACTGACACTTAAAAACAACAACCCAGGATCCTATTATACTTGCTGTTCTTCTGTACCTTTTCTCACCTCTCACAATCACTCAGAGACTCATATTAGTGTAGATATACCTAGCTCACTCTTTTTAACAGATGGGTAGTATGCTGCTGGTGGACGCACTATAATTTGTTTAACCCAACTACTGTCAATTCATATTCAGGTTGTTTTAGTCTTTTGCTATGATGCTGTTGCAATAAATATTCTCTTTTACTTAAGTCTTTGTATCTATGTGGAAATTTATCTTCAGCATACATTTCTACAAGTAGAAAAATTGGATTAAAGAGTACATACATTTCAAATGTTGGTAGATATTGCCAAACTGCTTGGAAGAGCGTTCCAAATTTCTTCTTGAGAGATTTGAAAAGAATTTCTCCTTCTATTGACAGAGGGAGACCATCTAAGAAGTTAAAAAAATAACCCACGAAAACCCTCCAACTTCTTTTTTGATACTTAAAAAGTTTTTTAAGAAAAAATTTCTTAAGCAACCACTAAATGATTTGTCTTTTCTCTTGAGTAACGTCAAATGTTCAGATTTTGCCCTCTGCATCAGCAAATTGCCCTGCAATCATTTGCAAATTGTTGGGGCTTCATGTAACTATCAATGCATGTCAGTGCAGACTGCACTGCCGTGGGGCTGGAGGCTGGGAGTGGAGAAGAGCATCAGGCAATGCAAAGAGTGTGTGTGATCTGTCGGTACTACATAAACTCCCTGAGCCTCTGGAGTTTGAAACCAAACACTCAAGGAGAGCTTGGATAATTTCAAAAGTGGGGCTTTTATGGGATATTTCAAGAGAGTGCATGAGCGTGTGTGCATGTGTATGTGTGCGTGTGTGTGTGTGTGTGTGTACACATGTGTGTGCATATGTGCATGCGTACATGCCCTTCCTTTATAATGAACACGGGGAAAGCAGCAAGAGATCTCAGTTATAGCTGACAATTATTTATGTCATTAGATTTTATGTGAGCTTGTTAGACACACAGTAAAAACCATCTCAGTCACTTATCGTTGAACCTTAGACCAAGGGATAAATGAAGAACAGGGGAAACAATAAAGACAAATTTCAGAGACACAAGGAGCCTTATGTTTGCTTCTGATGAGGAACAAAAATGACCTTCTCACATAACCCAAATTCTTGGGAAGTCCATCTTTGGGATCCAGATAACTATTAGATTATAGATACACAGGGACATCTGCTTAAAGATTCCCTGCTTATATTCCCTTTCTGAAACCAGAAAGGCCACATTCTGAAAAGCAGGATGGTCAAAGGTGCTTCAGGGTTACAGCAAAGAAAAGTCTGGCAAATTCCACACCCTTCAAAGAAAGCAAGTAGGAAATTGTTAAATAGCTATTATGCATTCCTTAAGTGGTCTGTGATGAGATCACACACTGACCAAAATTAATGCTCCAGCCATAAACTGCCTCAAAACACCACACCAGGACCTAAAGAGGTGGACGTTCACTATTGCTCTTTTTCTAACCATCAACCAACTAATATTTATTGAATGAATATCCACACACCATCAAGCTAGCTTAGGTCCCACAGAGCTCCATAACATCAGTAGGTTTCAGGAAAGACAAGGAAAGAACACAATACAATGTTATTTCTTTCCATGTTGACGTTCTAACTTATTGCTGTCATGTCATTTAATGTTGATAAGCCCAAACCATCTCTTGAAAGATGTGTGCACGGAATGAATGAATCCACAGGCTGGTGAGCGAGTTAGTTGCACAGGGATGTGTACCCGCCAAGGGACCAGGACATGGACTCGCCCACTTATCGCCCATAATCTGGGTGGGTTCCGCAGGTTGAAATTAGAATTTTTAGGTATGAAAATTTCTGACTTTTAAACATAGGTTCAACCAAACACACACACACACACACACACACACACACACACACACACACACACAGAGAGAGAGAGAGAGAGAGAGAGAGAGAGAGAGAGAGAGAGAGACCAACAAAATATACACAAGGGCTGGATTTGGCCCTTGGGTGATCACTTCATTACAACTGGGACCTATGTCCAGTCCCTCCTTCATATTAAGAGCTCAGACCACAGCTGTGCATGACCACATGACAGTGACTGTACGTACCTGCAAGCGACTCAGAACTCTGACTGGGGACGTTGTGCGATGCCTCCTGGAGGACGTAGGTGGACGTGGAGATGGGGGATGGGCAGATGCTGCTGGCCGGGACGTAAGGAGGGTTGTAGGAGGAGCTGTAATACTGGGAGTACTGGCTCTGAGGGAAGCCGGGGTAGGAAGGATAGTCCTGGAGAGGGGAACACACAGGCCGTGAGTGAGGAAGGCTCCCTGGGCATGGGCCTTCAGTGGGCCCGGTCACAGGCTGATGAAGTCCAGGCGCCTCCTGGGTGGGTCTGCTCTGTCTCCCATTAGAATAAAAGCTCTATTTTTTTGTGTGCAGGGATGTTCCCTAGAAAGAGGCCCTGAAAGTAGGATTCAAGTGCAAGTAGCGTATTTGGGGGTGAAAGAGACACCAGTTGGGGGGTGGGAAAGTGGGGCAGTGATGGGGAGAAGGGAAAGTAGCCAATCCAGAGGCTTCTAAGTGCGGACTGGAGTGAATTCTACTGGGGAAATGCTGGATGACATAAAACACACATCAAGGGAGCCAGCGCCAGCCAGTCTTTGGGGGCTGCTCCCAGGGGGGTTTAATTCCCTGGCTTTTCCTGCCTGCCCCATGCATTGGTTCTAGAACACACACTTGAGCCCAGGGATGCAGAGGCTGGCAGCTGGGGGTCACCCTGAGGGACGTGGGTGTGGCCCTGACAGCATCTGTCTTGGTCACTGCTGCCTCCCCAGTGTCTAAAACAGTGCCGGACACATACACGAGTAAGCACTCGATACATACTGGATAGTAATGAACACATGACTGAGGAATGAAGACCATATGCCCAGGAGACTAGGTGACACTTTAGGTTCATGAGAGGGTGCGACTACAATAGCACCCACAGGAGCATTAGGCATCCAGAATCTTCTATGGGGGAGTCTTGGAGATCAAATCAAAGAATGCCAATCCTCTTATCTCAAGCTTTGCATAAAGCAACCAGATACTCCAACTCTCCTATAATACAATACCCATTTAAATATTCTGCCCCACCATCACCATAAACCAGTGCTTCTCAACCCTGCCGGGAACTCAGGGAGAGCTCAGCTTCCTGGGCCCCACCCCAGACCCACTGAATCAGAATTTCTGGGGGCGGCATTCAGGAATCCCGTGTTTTTTGACGAGCTCTTGTGGTGAAACGGACAAACACCCAGAGTGAAGAACCACACCTTAAAAAGTATCTCTTTTATTTCCAAGTATTTTATCTCTATATATAGTAAACTGGAAAATAAATACAAAAATAAATATGAAAAACAATTTTCACATCTTCCAAGGTTTAAGTCATTGAGATTCTTCAGCTCACTG